ACCAGAAACTATGTCTAAAGCTATGATTTCATTCTAGTAGGTGATCTCACGGTGAAACCACTTTTTTTAAAAGGGTTAAAGCTGCGTCATCGACATCAGACTTTGGCTCGGCGTTAGACTAAGCGTGCCATCTGCTGTCAGGTTGGTGTACTACGTCTTAATGCTGTCCTTTTCGTGAAGAGAGGTGAACGACATTGGGATCGGTGGGACCACCGTTACTGGGCCGCGGAGTGGGGGTAGCGAGCGGTGTTTGCTGCGTGCCATCACGTACGCACGAGATATCGCTTCTTAAAATAGCCTCGCGGAATGCAGCTATTGTTTTCACTCACGTGTCGCGACCTACCCCACACTGTGGGGCCCACGAAAGGATTAACGCCGGCCGAGAACGCGGATCGATACAAACGTCAATAACTATGCTTGTAGACGTCGTAGCGACTTGAGACAAAAACCGTTGGACAGGAAAAATTAGTGTGCTTTCGTTGGATGTGAGATCGTACTTCGGTGAATTAAGGACCAATTAGCGTATTTAGTCAATCGTGTAAATACGAGACATCGATTTTTGTGTTCGCGTTAAAGTGGACATTAGTCTACGCTACAAACTAATAGTAAACTTTGGTTTAGATTTGCAATGTGAAGCGTCGGTTTTCTGTTTTTTTACGATGCAATTGAAAAGAAAAGTGAAATGACAATAATGGGAATTTTATTCTAATTCAGATATACAAGGTGTCTGGATTTAAATGTCTAAGCGGACGTGTGCAAATAAAGTTCATTAAACTGAATAAAAATTTGTAAACAACCACGATAATTTTCAAGATCTCAGTTAAAGGAAATTAGTCAATCAATGGATGCGATGCTCAATGGAATAACTCTGTACACAGAAAAATATACACTGCACTCAAATAAATGCTACTTTGAACGAATATTTAATAAATTTATGTACAAATTTACACGTTAAAGTAGATATTACACAAATTTATATACAAGTTTATATACTAACAGATCTAGTTCATCATAAGCATCAAATTTATTCAAGATGCACTGTGAGTCCTAGTAAAAGTGTCTTAGTAAAAGTGTTTTGCACTTTAATCAAGAATATTAAAACGATCCAAAAATTCTACTTGCCTACTACATAGAGTCGCATCAACTTCCTTTTGTCAATAAAGATTTATAATATTCTTGTAAAGAGAATCAATTCTTCTTTTCAATACACAATAATGAACTTTACACAGTTCGTCCGACCGTATTGCACGCGTATCAATTGATCAATTTTCTTTCGGCAATACCTTGATAATCGCGATACTGAGCCCTGCACATTTTCTACATTTTCTATCGATTTAAGGAAGTTTGACCGCAAAAGGATACCCTTGGCGTCGCCAAATGGATTCCGCGCGCGTGAGATAAAGCTCGTCTTGATTTCAAGCCCGTTTTTGCCGGACACGCGTAGTACCGATAACATCGTCGTGAATATTTCAGCGCGCGCTTAATCGTCGCGATTCGTCGACGAAGTAAAAAAAAAAATAACACCAAGCTGGTCGGAGTCCCAAGGAAATAACGAATGCAAGAAATCAATTCCGCGCGGCAAGATAGCCGAGGCGAGCTCCATCCTGTATGCGGTCTGCGTCACGTACATGTGTGTGTGCGTGTGCGTGTGTGTGTGTGTATCTATACAGACATATGCGTGTATGCGCAATGTACGTCCGAGGCGAGACCCAGGCTGAGCCGGCGATAAGATCGGTCGCGTGAGAGCCAGCCTAGGGGTAGTTTGCCCCAAATGGCTAGTCCCATTTCCCTCGCGTCTCTAAGTAGCCAGGTATTTGTATCGTCGTACGTGTCGGTACGCCGTCACTCCATGTGTCCATGTTCTCTTCACAACGCCAGTCCCGTCCTCGTCGCCGTCACACTTTACTCCCACTCATCGTCGGATCAAGCCGATAACGGAAAATCACTAACGCGACCCCGATGCCACGGCCGCTGACAAAGCGTCCGTTTAAACGCTCTTTTTGCCCGCTCGCGCGCACGGCCGCGTCGGAAATGTCAAGATCGACGATAGATTTTCGACTACGGCGCGCGCTTCTCTCGACGAGACCGAAGCGGGAGGGAATCATCGTCGCAGCTAAATCCCTTCGCAGCGCGCTTCGCTCCGCGCTTTGGTCTGTAAGACAAGCGGAGGAGTCCTCGAGCGTTCTCCGAGCGCCATCAGCCAGAGCGATGCCGGCGAATAATCTGGCGACAGTTTCATTAACGCTCTCCAACGGCGGATTCGCCGTGGATTTGGGACGACGGAACGCGGCTTCGAAACTCTCACTCCCGCTGCATCGCCTACATATCCCCCGTTCCTTTCGCAAATCGGCTCCGGTGCCACCCTTTCTCCGTGCTCCGCCCGAGAGCGAGCTTTTGGGCTATGCGAATCCGGCGGACAAGTACCCACCTGAAACGTCCTGACGTCCTGACGTGGCACTGCACCGGGAGTGAGAGATCGCGTTGCAGAGAGTCGAGGTTGCGGGCTAAGCTCAGCACATTGCTGTGTGCCTTCCGGCTTATGGCCGATAATGTTTTCATATTGTGGCGTCCGCGCACATGTTCGCGGCGTGCTGTTGGCATTATCGGCGCTCTCCTTGCGCCTCACGAGCAGATCTTCGCCCGAGAATGGGAAAGGGACTCGCCCTTTCCCCTCTTTCCCTCTTTTTCTCTCTTCCTCTTTTTCCGTGCATCCGTCATCGTGTCTTCGACCTACGCGCTTTCACGCGCTGCTATTATACCTTCACTCCGTGATCTCTTAGCATCTGGCCCGATTCGCCACCGGGAACGAGCTTAAAAGCGGGTTGGAGGACCGGTGCGGCATGCCTCGCGGATGAGAACTCAAAAGGAACCACGAAGAGAGACACTCAACTCGAGTCGAGGACTCACCCCGGCTCACCGTTTGTCTCAGGTGCGCTCTTTCTCTCTTCGTACATTTCTACTCTCTCCTTCTTGGCGTTCTTTCTTTCTTTCTTCCTCGTACACCGCGGCTCTTGGTAGTCTCTCTTACGACCCGACCTTGACACCACTTTGAGCGATGCTCATCTCGCGTGCACGCTTTCTCTTTTGGTAAGCTAAGTAGGTGCAAGGTCTACCATGTTCCAATCTCGAAGATTGAATGCGTATCATCGATTGATCGATTACAAATTGGCTCCGTGTGATATATATTTCATAAAATAATAAAAATATACTAACTGTGTCACGCTATAAAAGCACGCACACGATATTATATTCGTGTAAGACATGGGCGTATCTAAGACAGGGAACGTGTGCGTGAAATATGAGCGTACGCCATATGGCAATTAAGCTGGAGCACGATAAGGGATAGCGAGCAAATATTTGCAGGGTGACGTCTTTACTAGTAACGAGACCGTATGTGGGTAGGACTCTTCTACCTTATCGATGTCGCGACAGGCGCAGATTTATGGAAATTAAAATGTGAAGTGCGAAAGAATTATGTGCCAGTCGTAAACCTCGATAAATTTGATGCGATCTTAATTACACCCTTTATATTTACCGCCGCAGGAAGGGAGAGAGAGAGAGAGAAAGAGACAGGAGAAGTAAATAAATCTTACCTTGCGAAGTTAGAAACTATAAAACTAAAACCGAAAGTAATAAAGTCGTTTAAAAATAACGAATTGTCGAACACAACGGGCGCAGAAATGTTTATACTGAAACGACCGGAGCAAACGCTCTTGTACGAAATAACTTATCGATACGTCTTTTTATCGGTGATTGAAGAAATACGCGCGCCTGTCTTTAATTCGTCAAGAAGGTTAGACTTCTGTTGAAACAGCGCGATGGTCAAAGAGCACGTGCGGTCCGGCGCAAAAGAGTTGGGGCGCTTAACTTTAAGCCGGCGCTAATGAGATTGGAACACGGCGGAAATTTTGTATAACGAACCGAAGAAGCTTTTGGTCTTTGAATCAAAGTCCACCTACTTTTCAAATTTACAAAGGCTCCGGCCCGTCGATGAGATAAATGCACGGCGGAATATCATGGAGAAACTTCGCGAAATTGCGCGGCGGAAACTCTCGGCCTCGTTAGCAGTCGGTCTCCGATCGCGCGCCAAATGCCAGCGTCTCGCGCAATATCCGACCATTTGTCGTATTTCACGAGGCGCATATTATTTTCATTAGTCGAGTGGGAAATATACGCGCAAGACATCATCGGGAAAGATGTGTGGGTGCATATTTGGTGCGCGATACGGCAACCATGACGATACTTTTATGCGTCACACCAACTTATCCATCGTAATCTGGAGACGCGGAAAGAAATCGTTCACGAGCGATTTCGAATCGGCCATATGGCGGGTTCCGGCACGGGCTTATCGAAAGATAAGTCGATGCTATTAAACCACCCCAACGGACCCCCGCGCACCTGTCCTTCGCACGCCACGTAACATGTCGAGTCCGGTGGGATTTTTACTCCGTTCTGCGGATATACCGGCGCGGAGTCTTTTTATCGAACAAAGGCTCGCCTTTTAACGAGTGTACGGTAAACCGAGATAGTAGATAGTGAATTTAAATGTCCTCGAATATAACAGACGGAGCGTAGAGAGGCGCGCAGGGCAGACAAAGTCGGGGGGATCGTCGCGACGGATCTGCCCGCTCGAAATTTTCGTCACTCGGCAATCCTGAAATATCCTTTTCCATCAACCCGCCCGTCGACGGGCTCTTTTAAAGTGGCGCATTATAATTTATCGTTAAGGAACTCGATATCGCATGAGTGATATCGCATTCCGTTCGAAAGAAAATAAAGAAAAGAAGTGGAAAAGGAGTGAGTCCTTGTGACTGACTCAGATCAACAAGAATCAAGAGTGCGCAATCATTACTTAGATATAGATGCTGCGTACGTATTTTCCGAGGTCAACATGTTTCTCGCTCTTCTTCTCTCCTCTTCGCAAAGGATCGTGTTCTCTTTCTCCCTCCCTCTCTCTCTTTCACTCGCTCGTAGGGAAAAAATTCGATCCAGATAAGAAATACATCTCAGGATTGTATTTATTCTTCTTTTCCGCTGAGAGATATCGCACTACTTACACCGAATACATATATGAATGTATATACATACACACGTCATATTTCAGTTTTCAAATCATTGCGCAAAACGTTATATATGCCTAATTCCTAACTTCTTAAAACACAGTCTTCAGCCTAGAAAACTCAAGATTTGTCATGGTGAAGTAAATATATTATCATCGCATAGCTCATCATAACGCAGCCGTGTCCGACGGTTATCCCGTCTCTTAATTGTCTTTACCCCTTCGGCCCAATATCTTTTCTCGCTGCGCCATCAGCTCCTCTTCGGTAATTATGACTTGACATCTATTCGCGTAAGCATGACATCTCATATTGGGGCAGCAGCTCGAGCTAGAGACACACTGAAATCACATAACAAACAGTATTATACGTCGCGTCAATACACTTTCTAAAACGTATCGAAAAATATAAAGGTAAAAATACTAGTGCCTGAACACATATTTTGTTGTTATTATTTTGATCTTTAAATACATTAATAGTTTGAAGTTTTTAAATACAAATATCTAAACTTTCAATATAAAAGAAATATATGTACATACATTGTGTATATATATATATATATATATATATATATATATATATATATGTATGAAGACTATGTTAGAAGTTTAAATATTCGTATTTAAGATAGAGTAGCAATGAGTACCATGATAGAGTAACAATGTTCAGAATTAAGTACGTATTCAGGGATTGATATCTTCACGACAGCTTCGTAAATTTGAACGTCTCTAATGACATCTCTATCAATCTGTTAGCGTAAACAACACATTAACTACGCATTAAAAACTGCATCCCAAAAAGATGCGTCAACGAACAAAAGGACATACAGAGAAGCGCTCATACGCAAATTAAAAATATGTCGAGTTAAAATAATATAAAAAATAAAAAAAACAAAGTAAACAAGCACCGGATAAACATGTAACGATGGAATGTGCTCTTTATCGCTGAGTGGATTGAATCTCGGCGGCATTACTGCTAAAATCGGACGTATGTTTGTTCTATATTCAGCCGTGAGTTCTTGTTTTCATGGTAAACCGATTGTACACTTGGCCGCAATGTTACGCGCGCGCGCGCAAATATTTGTACAAATCTTTTAATATTCTATTACGTTAAATACAAGCCGAGAGTACTTTCTCTATGTTCCTTATTGATCGCGAGCAATATTGCAATATTTTTGCAACGCGCACAGTTAAAAGGCGAGATCGAGAGGAAGAGCAACGTCAGAAGGGGGAAAAAGATGAAATACATGACAATAAGTATACTTACGGGGTCACCGTGTCGACCGCATGTTTGATCAGTTTTCTTATCATCTGCCATGATAAGAGAAGCAGCTACCAACGCCAAGAAGACATACAGCATTAATTTCGCCATCTTTTCACAGCGTTGTGATCTGAAAGTAATTTTGGAAAATTAGAGAATTGGGCCAAAATAAATCTTCAATGTTTGTGCTTTCACACTAATCAGGAGACTAATCAAATACACACAATCAATGCGCGTAATTTTAATTGCTCGTTGAAAAAATTCACAATTCGTTGTCATATTACTCGTTGTCATGATTCGGTTCGTTACTTTATCCTAACAGTGTATCTCACCATTTTAATTTCCAATTCATACACGTTCTTTCAGACGTAGTTTTATGAAAATCAGCTTACGTAATGCAATAGGCCGGCCGTGAGTTTCGTGTTAGCGCGGCTGACAACAGATATATATGCGAGTGAATCACCAAGGTCTGACACAATTAGTTCTTGAACGGACAAAGTAGACACTAAACTCTAGAACCGCGTCTTGCAATTTACATCGAAACTCGGCTACGAAAACGCTCCTAATGCGCCGTTCAAGCCTACCATTACTTTAATTGTCGACGACGGATGCAGTGTACGTAGACTGCGCTGCAATTCCGTCTAATATAGCAATAACCGAGAACAATTGAGAGGATCGTATACATTACAGCGAAGTTTTGCAACGCCAACGGATATCTGAAGTCTCAAAAAACGAACAAGTAAAGAGAAAAAAATACGCAAATATTGAACAAAGTTATAACGACTTTTTAAAGTTTGCTTCACACGAACAAATTTGAATAAATTTATCACGACCTCCGAGCAAATCGAACAATATATTATAATTTTTCAGAGACAAGAGAGATTTATCCTTATCGATTTAACGCAATTTTACGTTAAAATATACAGTTGTCTCGTAAAATATCTTTATGATTAATAATTTTGTCATGCGAAAGACACACTGCGCGATCTTATTTATCCAAAGTCCTCAATCAATTGATTTGATAGTCTTTTTTTTGGAGAATGTCCGATATTATGACAAGCTTCTCTTGAAAGAGAACGTATGAATTATAACTCGCGTAGGTGGGCACACTCACCGACTACTTCAGCGAACGTTCCTTCTTAGATCCGACTGTCTCGAGAGTTCGACCTCGACTGATGTCTTGGTTTACAACGGTCAAGGCATTTATATGACTACAACGTCCCACACAGACGAATTCTCATGTTTTTATACGTGTCTGCGTCACACTGAGCGATACAGCAAGAAATCGTTACATTATCTCACACACGTGGTACACGCTTGCAACATATTAGAATCACACACATAATTATGTGTATACGTGTATACGCGCCACATATCGCTAAACACGATAATTGCTCTTTGTCTTTTCTCTTTCCATTTATTGGCGTCTTATCTAAACTACGCGTCACTGCTCATAGATTCATAACGTAGCCACGTTAAATGACTGTGACATTATGACTGTATGTATGTACAAGGTCTCTCAAATTTACTACATATTCTTTTTCTTAAATTTGTCGTTGAAATTTCAAAAAATCAAGTAGATTCCATAGTCCGTCACCATAGTAGTAATTTTACAATCTGTCCAAATGCTTCACATAGAAACAATCAGTAAGTTTTAACGTTGAGCGCCGTTCATTCCCATTGTCCGTCGATCACTTCCTCGACATAGTGTGAAGCTCAAAAATTCCTTTCTTCCGTGATGCGAAACCAACTTCACTATTGCAATCTAGTTCCGTCTTACGACACCATATACATCCGTGCAACGAGGAAAACGGTAATTTCGAGCAAAACGGCAATTTCTCCGTCGCATTTGTAGTGCTTAATCTCGTGTTTTCAAAACAAAAAAGCCGCTATTACAGCAATATAAAAACTGCAGCTGCAGCGAAAAACGTTCGATATTTACGAGCCCGTTATCTATTCTACTTACGCCTGCGTTCCAAGTATCCGCAGGTTAGTCATTTATATCATCAACAGATTAACGCAAGCGATTCCTACGTGACTCGAATGCAAATAATTGCTAAACGCTGTACTACAGAAGTGAATTACATCGTGGGCACATCCGTTACCGTCAATCTCGGGCGAGCCTTTGCCGGACGGGCTGTTTTGGCGAGTTATTACAGGTATTTCGATTATTAAATATTACCTCCATGCAGAAATACGGGAATTGCAAAAAGACGCCTTCCGCTGATATTCTCTTTCCATTTCACCAGTATCGAATGCACAAGTGCTTTTTGCCCTTTGCGCCGGCATTCTATCGAGTGCATATTGCGCGCCTCGTGCATTCCATTGATTCTCCGACAAAGCGCTCTTGTTCTTTAATTCGGTTGACAGGAAACAACAGGAAAGGAAACTGAATCATCCGGTAGCATTGTCCTTTTGTTCGCCCATAGTGGCTGAATAGGAATAGTCGGGGTTTTTTTTTCCTGTCATCGGGGAAGCTTCGACACATCATGAGCCGAATTAACCTTTTTAGTATATCCGCAGCGCGGTGGCAGACACGCTTGACGCTTTTAAGCGACATGAGCGTTCCGCGGATTTATCGCCGTCCGTTCGACTCAAGTGCTATCGCCGTTTTGAGCTTTTCAGTGTCAGTCTCTACGTACGAGACGTTGAAAAAAAAAATAGGAAGAATATTCGCGAATATTTGCAAACACTCCTCGACAATTTGTTTGTTCAGCCGTTCTTTCGATCGCAAGAATCAAATTTTCGTCGTCTCAAACACGTGACTCTCTTCCGCACGACTTTGAATGTCGTCGGTAATGCCGATAATCGCCGTTCGCAGTGGAAACGCGGGGTGCAGGTAATAGTTAAGTAGCTTGCGTTTTACCAGCGACGCAAAATGCATTATCCATTTTAAGTATGCATATATATATTGTTACAAATTAATACGGTACAATATAAATATCCGGGAATTTACATTTAATTGGTGAAAATATAAATGTATAAAGAGTGCGTGCGTATGTCAGATTCAGTTTAACAAAGTGCAACACAATACCAATTATTCCTATATTATTAAATATCATGCTCATAACGTAGCATTTATATTGTCCGTGAACGCGTGTTTTGCACACAGCATTTGCGGAATTTTACACGGCTATTTTACTTTTGCCGATCGCAAATATAATAGTTTGGCCGCTGTAATTAAGTGACGTTTGCGATCCACTCGAGGATTCACGTAATGATATCTACGCGATTAATAATAAGAAGCGAAAATCGTTGGAATCACACCGCGATTGTCAATTCGATACGGTTAATTGTGGTTCTGCGCATTGTGACTAATTATTCGTCTGTTTTTTCTTACACGCACTTTTAGCACAGTATAAAAACTTTTCTTCTTTTATCTTAAAGAAACGGTTTTAATACATCTTGTAGATTCCCATAGGAACGTTTTTTCCTGCGAAAAACAAGGCCAGGTTTTCCATCTGTCGCTCAACCTACTCAATTTCAGTCACAAATCTATAACGACGGTGCCAATCTTTTTACGTGCATATTATTCCACCGATTAATTGAAGTATATTTAATTATTCATCTAACAACTAAACATAGCGTTCACAGCGGGAGCTGCACATATGCGTACATGTATATGCAGCGTGTAATAATAGATATTAAATTTCAAGCACATCCGATTGTTCCCGCAGATATATTTACGATAATCCCTCCAAATAATAATGGGCGCGGTCGTCTAATTCGTTTTAACCATTATCGAAGAATTAATGATTATGTGTAAGTACAGAGCTTTAGTGTGCGTATACAGTAATTACACGAACGCGTTTCACATTATTCCTCGTGCGATCTATTATATCTCCGTTTTTTCTTTTATAAATACACAATACCCAATCATTAATAAATAAGTCACAATGTTCGTGGATTTTTAATGCTCTTTATTCAAACATAACGCGAAATCTTGTCCATTGAGAAAGAAATAAAACAATATCGTGATCCGGTGCAAAAGACTGTTGCCGTAAGATAATAGATCGTCGTATTAATTAATCAATTGTTTATTGCCAATTACCATCCCAATGTTCACTCGCATCACTTGCTGGAACTATTATGCCCGACTTTGGCACGCATTTAGCCGCATAGGATAAACATATGGAATTAGGACAGCAGTTATCAGTTGTCTGACACTGAAACATAAAATATTTAGAGAATTTAGATATTTATATTTAAAAGCAGCTCATTCAATACTTGAGTACGAACCATGTATCGTAAGTCAGTTTTCACTACGATTAAAGCTTGTCAGTAAACAGTAAAACTGTTTTAATGATTATATGTAAGTACAGAGAGAGAGAGAGAGAGAGAGAGAGAGAGAGAGAGAGAGAGAGAGAGAGAAAGAGAGAGCTTTACACAGTAATTACACGAACATGTTTCGCATTATACCTCTTCCTATTTATCGTATCTCTGATTTTTTATAAATATATAATTACGATATCTAATTATTAATAAATAATCTCTCTCTCTCTCTCTTTCTCTCTCTCTCTCTACAATAATTACAATTATATTTTCATATTTTCGCTACTCAATAACGCAATCAATATTGTGGACTCTACCACGCAGCGCTAAGATTTTGTTATATTACTTCGACTTACTTTGTGAGTTCCCGCTAATTACTTATAAGATATAAAGATTGGATTTGCATCTCTAATTGTGTGTAAATAGCAATTCAAAGACTTACCCATTCATATAGCTTACTGCACGTAGCTTTTTCTCCTTGAGGAGCAGCCATGGCCATCGCAGTAATAACGAGAAGAGCGAAAATAACGAGCTTCATTTTGCCACGGATATTTATTTATTCTGGAATTATCAGATTTCTGTGTAAGCGGTGCTTCATATGCGGTCAGATACAACGATAATTTAATAATAATATTATTTCGACGAAAATCTCAGTGATAACTCTGTCTGCAGCCGACTATATCTCTTTTTTAAATACTTTTGGCTTTTGACCGTCAATTGTCAAATGTAAGTACATATTTTTATGTACCTCAGTAATATAGATACCAATACATAATTTATTATTGATATATTAGTTATATATACGAGCAATTTTTTATATACTAGTATATTTTATATATATTCAATGTCATTTTAAAGTAACTCTGGCGATAACTTACTGCGGATGTGGATCACTTTACAGATCGTATATGATACTAAGTGACCGGTACCATGATCTTTGCGGAGTTTTTATACTTCGTATACACTTGAGTACACTATTAATTCACTCATTTGACAAGAAGGCAATTTTCAATGGCGTTTTCTTTTATTTAATACTTCCGTGCATAATGACACGTGCGTCATCCACTGGCGGTTATACGAGATAAGAACATTTATCGTGAAATGTTTCAAGGAAACATACGATGAATATTTAGTGCTTTGTATATTCAGTTGTAACTGCACATTAAAATACAAAGAAAGTTTGTCGAAATATATTACATGTTATGTAACAAGTTCGAGCAATGAGAGAATTTCTAATTAAATAAGTACATTCCCCCATGACGTTCGGTATTGCCGAACGTGTAATGGAAGTTCCAATTGATTAATTACATCAATCAGCTATGATGTACCTATCGCCTCTCTTGTTGCAGTTTATATTAACGAGAAAACATTATTATAAATTCGACCTGAACACGTGTACACGTACGAACGTGCTTTTATAACTATCCTCGTCTGCAACCGGATCGTTGCGACAACATGATTATTAATACAAGGAAAGGTATGAAAGAAAAATCTCGCAGTATAGTCTGGAATTGTATGAATATATATTGTTTGTAAATTATTTACGTCATTTTTTTCAATTATATAGAATAAGTTCTTTGCAAGCCTGTAAATACAAATCTAAATCGTTGCAGGTCTATGCCAGAAGATCCAGGTCCTTAGATGCCTTGATGAAAATGTCTAATAACACTTTTCCTAAATTCTTTTTTGCACAAAGAAGAGTTTCGGAACTTTTCAGAACCAAAGAGGAAAAGTGTTATTAGACATTTGATATTTCTTTTTACTCTTTCATTTTTGTCAGAGTGAATTAAAAACCGGGCCAGTTCAATCCAGCATCGTCGCCGTTAGCGGCTCGGGCCCACGGCCATCTCCATGGCATTTGTGGTCCGTAACCACCGTAACCATTACCGTTGCCATTGCTCTGTGTACTCAATGTCTTAGGTTTTATGCAACGGCCGCTCCATGGATTGCACAATGAATCGGGGCAGCAATCGCTGCTCTGTGAGCACTGTTAAGACGAAACACGAAATTAATTAACAATCTCGCAAGACATGCGATGTTGTCGTGTAACTTTATTGTATAACTTGACTTGTATTCATGTAACTTGACCCTTAAATTCCTAATCGAAACATTTAGAATATATATATATATATATATAATTGTTCCCTGCGACAATGTGAGCTGGGACCTTTACCAACGCACCGTTTTGGTGACATTTAATTAATTAATACGACTGTATATTCAGTTTAATAATTCTTTTCCATAATAAATTAATTTGTCTATTGTGAAACGTGTGTGAAGATCGACACGTATAAATTGCCGATTGATGTCTTTTGGTCAGTTACGCGCACTAATAGAACACTAATTAGGAAACGTTAATGTTGAGTTGCATGATTCATTTGACAATTTCGATCAAACGAACGTGTACACACGTCGGCGAAAAATATCGACACACCTGTGTCACAATTTCATAATACAATGCAACACTTACCATAAAACCGGGTGGGGTGCAAGCTCCGGCTAAAGTTACCACGAAAAGTGCGACGAGAAGAAGTGCCAACAATTTTCCCATTATTGATTAGTGTTGTACTAGGTGCACGAACGTTAAAGAGAAGCGTTCACTGAAGAGGAGACGGCAACTCAGATAGATATCACTTGCAATTCACTCTGATCGAGGGTGTATGAGAATCTCGTCGAGTATCGCTCGGCTTATATAGGCTGGTGCAATATGTCAACATAAAAATCGTGATTCTGAAATATGCGAATGTGCAACACACCTTGAGAATTCTCACGAGTACACACAGCTTAGGTCACATCACCGATATTATTATCGTTTATCAGATTTCGTTGATCGCGTAAGTGTGGCGCACGAGTCATAGAAGTAAATAAATTGCGTAAAGATATATGTACACGCGGATTTCTGTGCGGATCCCCTCTGCGAAAATATCATAAGCCCCCCCGCAAAACAACATCGCGATAACAACGATCTTTCCTTGCGGCTTGCGATATGCACGCAACCGCGCCGCTTCTCTGTTCATTCGATATTGCGACGGTTATAATCCAACCTATTAATTGCAATCAGAGTAACTAATATCCCGAAAAATGGGACTCAATATTTGTGTATATGTTACGTACATGCTTGTGTAAGCATGTTGAATTTATATTTCGTATAATATTTTTGTACATGTATCATGTGTTTTACAACATTATAAATACATTCAAAAAACATTCTTCTCTTATGCATTTTTGTTACAAGTATATTGAATTTCTTCAAAGTTGTATTATACTTAATGCTGTACACCAGAAAAATATATTCATAAATTTTACATTTCGTGACTATTTGGAGGATGATGATAAGGTGATAAAATTATCAACGGAAAGCCAAAACTACATCATAAATTATGCATATAATCAAGATTTAGAGTACACAATTCGTACATAACAAACAGAATAATAAAATGTGAGTAATGTTTGTTTTTCCAACTATTTGAAGAAAATTACCTTGTATCTGCATTTTTTATTAAGAATTCTTCTACCATTGAAATTACCTTCAATTTTTAGTGAAGCAGAAATCTAATCAAATGCATGCAATAGCCTATGCAATATTGAATCACTATTTAACACAGTTGTCACGTTTAAAATTAAACCAACATTGACAATGCAACTTGTGCACGTCTTGATAACGTTATTTTCCTTCCGCGTTCCTTTTTATTATGCTGAGTCATAAATATCTTGTTTTCTTCTCTTCATAAATTAATTTTCCTACGCAAAATATTTTACAACAGCACTCAATTTGTAATACTATATATATTGTATATTGTAATGAAATAAAAAGAAATATAAAATGAAAAATATCATAAAACAACGATCATACGATATCGTAATTGAATATCCTAAAATATCCTAAAAAAATCCTAATTTTGAACATATTGATAATACGTTTTCATAATATACAAAAAAACAATGACAGACAATGTTTTATTGAACAAAATAAACGAAAGTCACGCGCCCTTCAATAGTACACACGCTGGTACGTGCTTTGTTACAGCTATAGGTAACAATCATAACAAATATAACAACCACAGATTCGGAAGAGGAAGCATGCATTAGACGAAATTGTCCGTCGTTTCCAATATTCTAAGTTTCAATTTAACTAGTATTAATGTGAACAAATAATAATTTATGATACTCGCGTCGTGCGATCAGATTATAACGGAATCGTTGTAAATAATTGGAGCATACAAAAGTATAAAAAGTAATTACCAAATTTGTTTTATTAAAAATTTAAAAAAGGAATACACTCTGTAATATCATCAGAGTGAGTACTTTAACTAACAAAGAAAATTACATTTTGATGTATTAGATCTGACAAAACATACAGGAAAGGCAGTTCTTAAGGACGCGATTCAAAGCGAACGGATTCTCAGCGAGGATTCTAAGAGTGAGTTTATAGACATACTTTCTTTTGCGACTGAAAACTCACGATTTTAACATATTCATCGGAACAATCGGCATGCCCAATTTTTAATTCGTGTTTCTTTGTACACATTTTCGGCGCGATCACTTCCTTTGTTAATTTTAACACCGCGACTCTTTATTTATCATTTGCGTCACGCGGACATATTAAGTAATTATCGAATTTCAATTTTTCGACGTTTCAAATCTAGCAAAGTTTGCGAGCAACTTCAGTTAATAAAGACGCAGGAACGGACACGACACGGACTCCAAAGTGGACGGGATATCGAAGAATTCTATCTAAGAAAAGCGGAATCGACACCAAAATAAGCTCACAGAGACTCGGTATACTTTCCATTGCGATGAGATATCTTTAACGCGATAATCGGCACGATTGATCTAATTCACAACTTTTCAATACATACTTCCATATCGCGAATATTTGTTCGTCGAGTATAACCGCGTGATTTTCATTATCAGTTTTTCACATACGATTCGCGTTATGTTAAAAGTTAGCGCAACGTTAAATATTATGAATCTGAAATATAGTTGAGTAAATCGTGTAGTATGCTGTGCTCAGCTCGCCGAAGGTCGCTGCGCCCTTGCGTACGTGACATACTCGTTAGTTAGGCTCGCGACACTCATAACGGCCCTAGACGCCCGACAGCGCGCACGTCGTCATCTTTCTGTCCGATTGTTTTGATCGGAGCTAAGAATTCACCCTACGTATTCGCACCGCGATCGTCGTATTCGAGTCATTGTGAGCAGTGGAAGCATACTGCAGTTCACAGGGTGATTATCTCTTTTCATTCTTACCGGATTTGAGAGAAAAATATCGCGATGAGCATTCCTATTCTTAATCCGTCTAATTCTAACTTATCATAACCAGTAATATTGCCTCCTTATTTTAGACGTTCTTTTTTCGCATCTATAGAGACGAGTATGTCATTGTTCTTTCTATTTTTTATTCAAAACAAGCGGAATCGACACTAGGGTAAGCTCACAGACTCGGTATACTCTCCGTGGCGATTAGAAACTGAAATATATTCGTCGTAATAATCGGTATGCTCGATCTAATTTGCAACTTTTCGATACATCCATATCGCGAATATTTGCTCGTCGAGTATAACCGCGTGATTTTCATTACCAATTCTTTACATGCGATTCGCGTTATGGGCATGTTAAAAATTAATGCAACGTTAAATATTACGAATCTGAAATATAGTTGAGTAAATCGTGTAGTATACTGTGCTCAGCTCGCCGAAGGTCGCCGCGCCCTTGCGTACGTGACATACTCGTTGGTTAGGCTCGCGACACTCATAACGGCCCTAGACGCCCGACAGCGCGCACGTCGTCATCTTTCTGTCCGATTGTTTTGATCGGAGCTAAGAATTCACCCTACGTATTCGCACCGCGATCGTCGTATTCGAGTCATTGTGAGCAGTGGAAGCATACTGCAGTTCACAGGGTGATTATCTCTTTTCATTCTTACCGGATTTGAGAGAAAAATATCGCGATGAGCATTCCTATTCTTAATCCGCCTAATCCTAACTTATCATAACCAGTAATATTGCCTCCTTATTTCAGACATTCTCTTTTCGTATCTATAGGTATCTTTCTATTTTCGATTCAAGACAAGCGGAATCGACACTAGACTAAACTCACAGATTCAGTATACTTTCCGTAGCGATTGGAAACTGAAATATATTCGTCGTAATAATCAGCGCGATCGATCTAATTCGCAACTTTTCAATACATTCAATACATTCGCGAATATTTGCTCGTCGAGTATAACCGCGTGATTTTCATTATCAATTCTTTACGTGCGATTCGCGTTATGGGTATGTTAAAAGTTAGCGCAACGTTAAATATTACGAATCTAAAATATAGTTGAGTAAATCGTGTAGTATGCTGTGCTCAGCTCGCCGAAGGTCGCCGCGCCCTTGCGTACGTGACATACTCATTAGGCCTGTTCTTTTTCGCTGCACTGCTGAACTGGTGCAATAAGTTAAAGCGAGACACATATATGTTTTCTCACTTTAACTCATCGCACTAGTGCAATAGTGCAGCAAAAAAGAACAGGCCTATTGGTTAGGCTCGCGACACTGTTACGTCATAACGGCCCTAGACGCCCGTCTCCGATTGTCTTGATCGAAGCTAAGAATTCACCCTACATATTCGTACCGCGATTGTCGTATTCGAATTATTGTGAGCAATGAAACATACTGCAGTTCACAAGGTGATTATCGTTTTTCGCTTTTATTAGATGTGACAAAGAAATGCAATCGATGGACGTCTGTATTCTTAATTCACCTAATCATAACCTATCAAAACCTTACATCGCCACTACTGTCACTAACAATGAAAATTGCCTTATTTCAGATGCTCTTTTGGCGTCTATAGGGGCGAGCATGTAATTGTTCTTTCTACTTTCGATTCAAGACAAGCGGAATCGACACTAGGGTAAGCTCACAGACTCGGTATATTTTCCGTGGCGATTGGAAACTGAAATATATTCGTCGCAATAATCGGCGCGATCGATCTAATTTGCAGCTTTTCATACGTGCTTTCGTGTCGCGAACATTCGCTCTCGTCCACTACAATCGCGCGATTTTCATTATCAATTCTTTATGCGCAATCCGCGTCATGTTAAAAGTTAGTGCGGCGTAAAATATTACGAATCTGAAATAGTCGAGTAAATCGTACAGTGCACTGTGCTCGGTTCGCCGAAGGACGCCGCGTCTTTGTGTACGTTGAGCCTCTGCACAAGCATCCGTAACATGTTAAGTTTACAGATTTCTTTGTGCGTTGACTTAAGTTTAAGTTTACATATAGGTATCATAGGTACTTGTGTCATAGCAGCCTTAGATGCCTGATAGCGCGCACGTCGTCCTTACTACTCAATTATTTTAATCGGAGCTAAGAATTTACGCTGCGTATGTTTGCACCGCGATCGTCGTATTCGAGTCGCCGTAATGGAAGTATACTGAAGTGCATACAGGATGATTATTGCTTGTCGCTTTTATTAGATTTGAAAAAAAGAAATGCAATCGGTGCGCGTCTGTATTCTTGATCTGTGCAATCCTAATCTAACATAATCTCATACTGCTACTACTGTCACCAGGAAAATTGTCTTTTTTGTTTTTGACTGTTCCAGGCGCCTGGGAAGCATGCACGTCATTGTCTCTACTTCTCTCGATTTTTTTTATCGGAGCTAAAAATTCACGCTGCGTGTTCGCACCAGGATTGTCATATTCAAGCCACCGTGAACCAGCGGGAGCATACCGAAGTTCACAGGGTAATTATCGCTTTTTATTTATATTAGATTTTAGAAAGAAATCAGTCGGAGAGAGGCCGTATTTTTAATCCGTATTTTTAATACGTCTCGCTTAATTCTAATCTATCATAACCTCAATTCGTTACTATTGTCGTTAATCAGGAAAATTATTCTTTTTATTTCAGATCAAGCGGGCTATGCAGATGCAAATTCGATGCAATTCGAAGGAAGCAGAGACTGCAGATGCAGTACCGGAGTCCCGGTTCGGGCCGAGCAGAGTCGGCTTGAAGGTAAACTCACATATCTACTATGTCTGATTAACTCTTTGCGATTAAAAGGTACAGATGTCGAATCGACTCAAATTATGATCATGAAGGGTCAATCTATTCGCATACATATCCACACTTGTTTCTTAAGTAGATTCTTAAAAATCTAACTTACAAAACTATATTTTCTCTTTCAGAAGTGAAAGGCAGAACGTGGCCGGCTCTGAATTGCGACATATTTGGTGAGTCAGTTAAATGAGCAAGAATTATTTCAAGGTGTTGGGTGTTTACAAAATCTCGTTGGAATCAGAACGATTTACATTTGATAGTAGATTGCATGTGTATGTTTGTGTATGTCTTATGAAATACGCTGCTCGAAGCAATTAGAGGATTGTATTTTCGAGTGCCTATGCATTACCTCTAGCAAATATTTGAAGTGTGTCGGAAATTTTGCTCTTTTAGTGCCTAGCCTTAAACTTTAATAAAACTCATGTAAATTTTATATATTTCTATTTCTTCATTTGCATTAATTTTTATATTTGGTTCAAGCAGAGTGCAAAATTATTCAATATAACTATTCATTTGTGCGATCCTCTAATTATTTTGAATAGTGCATAATATGCATAATAGTACAAAATTGCGCCATTACGCGCAAAATGCGTGATTACTTCATTCGATATATTTCGCAATTGTTGCGGTTATTTGTTTCCCAGATCTTTTATATGTGCACATCGCGATTACGTTTTGCGACAGGTTAATTTTGCGAACAAATTTTGCGAATATCAGAGTACCATATCAAAATACCATAGAGTAATTTTCGCAAGTCAGTTCAATTTTAAATTCAGTATTATCGCAAGTCTCATTGTACGTGAGAGAATTTTATGGTCACTTGCGATCACCTCGCTTACATATGACGCTAAGAAATTTCGCGATAGATCTTTAATTCGCAGTTTCTCGCAAACACACATTCGATTATTTTGTTCGTGAATGTTAATTCACGGAGTTCATTATAAATCCTTTTCCGCACAATTCGCGTATTATATCAGAGTGATATTACGACAAGTCACAAATTCGCGAAACGGGCAAGTCATTTCCCGTCCTTACCTTTTGCAATTTCGATATTACTGAAGACATTTTGATCTTCAGTCCACCAGCTTTTACATACGTAAAAGCGTGCTGCGAATGTATCGAAGTAATATTACAATGTGATATTACAACAGATTATCAATATGCGAAACGAAAAAATCGTTTCGCGCTCTTATCTTTCAGGTTTCGAATTTTATCGAAGACATTACATTGAGAGAACAAAATGATGGATCTAACAAAAGTATAGTTATTTTTGACCTCAGCTAAAATATTTTTTAGTTTTAACACGGAAATGATAGATAAATGATAAACATCGTAATATAATTTAATTTAAAAAAATGATTTCCTTGACTATAATTTATAGTAATTATTTCCTTCTCTTTATAATTATAAATACCAAACATTTTTTTCTCAGTGTATTGTCTTCAGTCCGCAATCTTTCATACGCAATTCGCGAATATGTTTTGATGTTATTGAAGACCCTTTGGACCTCAGTTTACGACCATTTGCACGCGACTCGCGTACCGCGAATATATCGAAGTGACATCACGACAGGTTACTTATTCACGAAACGGGAAAGTAGTTTTGCGTCTTTATCTTTCAGATTTAGAATTTTATCGGAGATCTTGCTGTCTTTAGTCCATGCGAATATATTTATTCCGTTTGTTATTCGGAAAAGTTATTACGATAAAATTAAACAAATTCACAAATTCCGATTTCGTCCCCGGCTCGGAAGTAAATTTTCAACGACGGTCGGGACATTCGTTAAACGCCGTTATGATGTAAATGTTAATCGCGTCGTGAGTGAAATAAAATGAAGTGAATCAACGTGGGACGATGCTGGATGCAGAACGATGCGAGCAGTTCGGGACGCATTCGTCGGGTGGACTTGGCTGGACATTGGATGGACTACCTTACCACACCGAATGGTGAGCGACCAATTAAAACGCTCATAATGCGTTATCTTATTACGTAGTGCATGCGTAGACGTAAATCGTATCTGATTCCTGACGAGTAGAAAATAAGAGCGATAGAAAGTAAGACCTTATACAAAAGTGCAAATAATCTATATCCAATTTTGATATCCAAATTGATGCTTACGATTGACGCGTGTATTGGATCGAGTCATAAACAATTTCCGTTCTTTTCTCCATCCCGTTTACTTTACATGAAATATTTGTAGCCTGATCTAGTCTGTATTCGTCATTACTAATATAACTCATGCTATCGACTAAATGGACAACCAAACTGATAGATTCATTGACCTTTTACGCGAGTGTTGGAAAAAAATAAATATTTATTATCTAATAATATTAATAATATTTATTATCCCCGTCAGAGGTTATTTATGACTCGATCCAATACCTGATACGTCCATGTGAAATTATTGTCGCTATAATCTGCCATTTTGCAACGATGTTGCATAATGTTAAATATTATTTAATGACATATTGTTAAGGGTGCGTCGTGCAGGCGCGCACAGAACATATTTATATATTCTCAACATTTTATTAGTCGTGAAAGTGTCGCGATTTGATGTTAGTCGTAATCGGCCGTTACGTTTTTCACGCGCGCTGTCGACGATAATTGGTGGTACCACGCGGCGTAATATTTCAGAACGCCCGTCGTGTAGCGCGCGCGCCCACGTGTCATTCAGCCTATCAAAACCGCTCTCTAAATTGATTCAATCGTCGTTCTCCCGTGGGAGAAATCTCTTCGCTCAGATATTTTCGGGAACCTAGTGAAAACCGCCCGCCGCGATAGTTGTCGCGTCTTTTTTCCCCGACCGCATCATTTATTCGATGCCAAGCTAGGATCCAATTCGGGCGCGGACGACATCGGAGGCACCCTCGTTGAAACACTCGATTCCGGTAGCCTAAACGTATCTAGCCATAATCGATACTCCCTCTCATTTGTGACAACTTGATATTCCTAAACTTTGATCCAATATGTACGTTGGTGTTAACATTCATCTGAGCTTTTGCGCATGGATTGCCGTAACTACAAACAGAAGACGCAAACTTAAGCTAAAGAACCAATCGGGGTATTGCTTTAGGATTCTTCTAAAAGAAGATTGATGTGGCCGTATAAGTAGGATTCGGGCAGAGTAACTCGGATTACAATCAGACGAATCTTAGTTACTTTTGCACATACGATCAGACTTACCTCGGCAGTTGTATCTTTTTCTGGAGTATACAAAACTAGAGCAAAATCCTGATTGGTTTTCTTCAACGAAAGTTTACGTCTTATGTCTATGGTTACGATAATTTATGTGCGAGAGCCTCATCAATGGTGTCGTGTCGCGCTTGTGAGGATAGCATAGGATGTCGAAACAAGATACGACGAATGATAGCTGAGAGAGAATGGGTGTCCTTATATCTCACTTTCTTTCTCTCTCATGCGTGCTACATGACGCCATTCTGGAATAATATAAAATGTTAGACGATCTCCCGGCATCGCGGTCGGCGCTTTAATCGAAATTGCGGTTTTGGCTTTCTATGAATCCTCATAAATTTCAAGTGTTTTCATCTAGCTAAATTAACGGTATCAATAGTACATGGTCGTTATAATGAATCATATAATTTATATAATTTGTACATATAGTATTAATTACATGCATTAATAACAAACAACCCGATGCAACATACAGCCGAAAATATGTAAACGCCTAATTCCCACTGTCACTCAATCTCCGACCAAACCGTAGCAACCATAAATAATATTTTCTCTCCACGCGCAAAGTTCGCTTAATTGAGTGCGCCATTATCTGTAATTTAATGCAATGTAAACGATTAAAACGTTTACCAAATTCGGTCTTGATTCCGGACTAACTGATGAATGGTAAATCATTTCATTATGGCGATAATTGCGCGATTATGGAACCGACTGGGCGGTCGCGCGAGCGGGAAAGCAATAAACAACAAAAGAAAAAAAGTCCGGCGGAGAGGAATCGGCCACGAAGGCAAAATATTACGCGAAAGCTCGATAAGATGGGAAATTCTACACGCGAATGACAAAAATTGTATTTTCCCGCGTGTGAGTTGCCTGGATGCTCTCGTCGCATCTCGCGATAAAATTATTGAGAGCGCGAGGTTATCGCGGTACAATTCGCGAGCACGGGTTCGCGATTATCGATACATACGACGTCGCGATGTCATGTGTCGTTCGCTCGTTAAAGTTGACGAGAATCACATCCGAGACACCGAGGGTCCTTTTCGAAGAAGCGATAAATTCTGTGCGTTATCTTTTCTCAGTACTTTGCCGCGATCTTCGGCTTATAAACTTGATTACTTGTCGTCTGCAAACTACGAAATTAGTTTTCCTTTCGTCATACGTACAAGATAAAACGTATTGTAGACGTTGCTTCCTAATCTGACGGTCATAGAAATCGAAAAACATGTACAAAATGAATTACAACGTGTGATGCCATTATGACTTGTCTCTCCTTAGCAGCGTGATCGCGATAGAATTGTCGTGTTTAGAAGACGGCAAATGAATTACCTTCCCTGCCAGACTGACGCCTGAATTAGACTTGCGTGCAGAGAGTGTGTACATTTGTATCCCTTTCCTTAACACTGTGCAACATCTACACGCACTTCCGACTTACATTTCCGAGCTAACCACTCCTTTCCGTTACACGCGACGGCTCGACCCCCTAAGAAGTCATTAAGCTCGTTATGAAATTACCATAAATGTGTCGGATAAAAACAACAGCTGCCAAGAACGTTCAGTATTCGGAAATGTTAATTAAAGATTTCGATCAGGGGAATATTTTGAATTTTGCTAAAAGAAATCGTTGGAAATTTATATTTACGTAAAGTGTATTATATTTAAGATGTGAGCAGATGCTTACAAAGATTAAGTATATCTTAAGACGGAAACACGGAGAGGATTTTTTAATAAGAATTTTTATAGAATTTCGTCATCGTTGGATATATCGATATTCTGCAGCAATTTACTGTGCTTTTCTTTCGTGCTAATTAAATATTTTAAAAATTTTAATATAATATCAAAAGATTTGTTATGTTTCTAGCGAAATTTACTAAATTCCTTATAACAAAATATACCTTACTGATAGTCTATTTTTGCACTACCAGGATTATAGTAAGATTAAAAAGAATTTACATGAAAAGAAAACTAAAATAATCTCTCCATG